GAGCTGTTGGACGTGAATCCCTGTCCTGGCATTTATTTTTCACCTCTGGCTGCGTTAAGTAGTTGCGTTACTGTGACCAAATGCCCATCTTGGTAGTTAGTATTCGCCTCTGGTTGCGTTGAGTAACTGAGTTACCGTTGCTAACTACCCATCTTCCTGTCTTTTGATTTCTTTTTCTTTGTTCTCCTGAAGAAGCTACATACAATTGTAGCGAAACGTCGAGATGAACACACTTTTGGGTCACTCACAAATGACACGGTCCAAACCCGGAAGACGAATAAACTATAATTCTGACTCTGGCCGTGGAAGCCTACGATTTCAGTTTAATGTTCATTGAAAATTGAAATTCTAAAATTAAATCAAGAAAATATCTTACCATCCGTGCAAAACAAATTATTTTAAATGTATTTAATTATCAACTCAATTTAAAGAGTGGTGAAAGTGAAGTTTAATCGATCAAGTAAGTATTATGACGAGAGTAGGTTCTAGTACAATTTCTAAAATACTCAAAGCTTAAAAAAAAAAAAACAAGAAAACGTACCAAAAGGAAAGTGAACGGCAGAAAGTTCACTTACGATGCAGTAGCTCATAGGCGGCTCCGCTCCATCGTGCATAGTATTTTCTATAAAATTTTAGCAAACATGTCACGCACGACAATATGGAGAATACTCCGTGAAATGAACTTTGTTTTTTGCAAACGAGGAATGAAGTCTAGCATGATGGAACGGTCCGTTATTCTAAAATGGAGACATCAGTATTTGCGTGAGATAAAAAAAATTCGGTCCCAAAGATACACCGTCATTTATTTGGGTGAAACTTGGGTCAATGTCGAACATAATATTTCCAAAGAATGGAAGGACCTCCCAGATACTAAAAAAACTCATCGGACTATCATGATGAGATGGATGGCCCTTTATTTGAACAATGGTTTAAGGATAAGCTGCTTCCTAATCTTCAAGAGAAAACAAGAAAACTGTTGTGATGGACAACGCATCGTACCACTCGACTTAAGTCTTAATTGCACAATTTTCAATCAAAACTCACGTAAGATGCAATATGTAACGATCAGGAAACATTGATTTTAAATAGCTAGATTTGACTTTGTAAACACGAGCATGAGTATAGTAAATAGGGATGCCAACGATGCATCAACACATTAAATGTATCTATATTGCCCACATAGGATTAATATATCATTTTTTTTACTAAAATAGATAGTTTATTCATCACTAATAGTATACAATCAGTATGATAATTAAAACAATATAATAAACAAGACCATGAGCAACATACAGCTGTCAGTAAATGAGATTACCGTTATCCTTGAATATGCAGGGCAGACAGATATCAAAGTATTTTCTTTTCCTCTTTACTCTTGCCTACTCACCCTATACAATAATTTTCTTACCGCTGTTATATCATTCGAGAGTGGTAGCGACTTCTCTGGAGATGTTTTTTTTACTCCTTAAAAGGTTGTTTGTAGCTCCTGGTAGAATGGGCAGCACAAAATCATCAGGTTTCGTTTTGACTTCTTTCTTTTTTAGTAAGCTAGAGGTAAAACTATTATACCAAATTGGGGTGTTATTGAATGGGTTACTATGGTCGCCGCTGGAAAATATATTATCAACAACTGCGTTTCTTTCTAACTTCGATGTAGACGCAATACATGTACTAAAGCAAACGATTGAAAAAAGCTATGAGCATGATATAGAACTGCACATATTGTTTATTGACTTCCTACAGGCCTTCGATAGCATATACAGACAACAATTATTAAAATAAATGAAAATGATGGACATACCAGCAAAATTAATGACTCCTTTCCTCGATATCATCGTTTTCTAATATTTCATTCTCAGCCAATCTTCTCTGATATTTCTTTTTCTAAAAGAGTATTCCGTGGATTCCATATTTAGTCCTTCGACTCTGACTTTGTTTGTGTTGGCGTCGCTTTCTTGGGCGTGAAGTATTTCATGATGATTATTAGTTCGATTGAGACATCGTATATCGATTATTTTTGATGGATGTATATACATAATCTATCATAGATCTTTGTCCACAGATGTTATTAAATGTATATTTTATTTATGTTGGTCTTTGTGGTCAAAAAATGTGTTGTTTATTCTAAGTTCATTATTGGTACGTTTGTTACCAGTTCTTATCTCATTAATTTCGAGTATTGCTTGATTACCTATTCTAGCGTTAAAATTTCCCAATTTTATATAAAAATCCCCCATCTTCCTTCTGACTTGATCTACTGCTTGTAATTCGCCATAAAATGTTTCCCTTGTTGTTTGAGGCTTGTTATTTTCTGGGCCGTATACTTCCATGATGTTCAGATTTTCCTTCTCCATTCTTATTTTTGCTGTTACAATTCTTTCTGATATGTATTGACACTCTTTAATGTGATTTTGGTACCTTTGATGTATTAGTAAGGCTATACCTTCTTTTGTCCTGTTTTCTTTTACTACTCCACTGTAAATTAGTATATTGTTGTATATTTATATAGTTCTAATTTATTTGTCTTTATTCTAATTTTTTAAAACTCACGATAACTAATTACGAATTTATTAAAGTCTTTATTAATCCTAATTTATATTACAAATAATTTATTTAAGTTTCGTTACAATTAATTCGCGTTTCCCGATCTTCTTATGACTGCCCGCCAAATAAAAAATCTTTCGTTTATATACACAACTGTTGTCATCTCAAAAGTTCGGCGAACTTCTTGAATAATCTCGTATTTTGGTGAAGGCGCTCGACTCGTTTTTCAACTGTTCGAAAAGCCTCGAGACGTGGATTACTCATAAAATTAGGGTCTAAAGGTTTCTGTAAACAACTTCGAATTTACTGGAACAGAAAACAGAATTAGTCATAATATATTGATAGTTATAAACGCCATAATTATCGTAACAATATATTCACCTAATTTTGATTGTCCTTTTACTTTTTGTGTTTCCTGTAGAACACAAATGTCTATTTAATTCGCTTTCAGCACTTTGGTGGTTTTCTTCTTAGCCCTTTGAGTTAAGCGAATTGGTATTCTATGTATTAATTCTAATCTGGTTTTTTGGATATCATTCGCTTGTCCATATAATTCTTGCCGTGGTCGTCTTCATAGTATCAATCCTGTTCCGAGGCTAAACATTGCTTATTTGAGCAGTATTCATAGCAGAGCTACTCAATTCACCCAGTAATTACTCCAGGCAGTGTTATAATGTTAACATGGAGAAGGATAAGAAAAGAAAATATTGAAATCGATCTAGAAATTTAACGATAATGAAGGAAAACAAGAAACTGCTAGAACTATATAAGAAACCCACTTTACTAGCATATATAAAAAACAAAAACTAAGACGACTAATAATGGAAGTATGCGTAAATTAATCTTACTGAGTGACCGAATAGCCAAAAGAAGAAATTAAAGATCAAGGAAAATATTATTAGACGAGATGATCTAAAAAAGATGAATTTCACAAACTGGCAAAAGAAAGCGCTGGATAGGGTAGAAAGGAGGAGACTAGTTATACAATGAGGACACATGGTTAGTTTGAATATAAATTTATTACAAATGTTTAGCGTACTTATTAATTTTATTTGTAAATTCATTACGATAATCATTTACGTATGCCTGAAGCCTATAAGACCTATAGAGCAAATAAATGTATATGTATAATAGGTACATACAAGCTACAAAAACAAACGACAAACAAACAAAAAAAAGAAGTGAAAAATTAGTTTTCGTAAATTCATCCGTAACTGCGTATTACTATCGCCTCCAATAAGTGGACATAGAACACGGACAAATGTTCCGTGTTTACTGATAGCTGATAGGTACATACAAATTTACAGGAAGATAAAATTTAGATGTCACGCAATATAAATAGAAAATTTTCTGAAATAAGAGTATTTCTTATTTTCCTTAACGATTACTTTACTTTATTTAGCTTTCCAACTATACGTTTTACACAATTGATTCTTCTATTCAACACTCTCTACTTGAGGCTACTTGAGTATACAAACCACAGATCCGTTTCTATTTAAAGGAAATTCATGTTTGTCAATCAGAAACTTGTATTTCTGTATGTAATCAAAATTAACATTTCAAAAAAATATACACCTAAATGGCATTTTCTGTTTTTCCAAACAAACTTTTAGATTATATAAAATTATTAATTATTAATTTCGGGCGGTCCTGATTTAAATTGTTACATAAATTTTGAGATGTTGTGGTTTCTTGTAGTGGTATTTCTGAGGTCCGGTACGAGTACCAACTGTTACTACCTCAACCTCCCATCTCCCATGTAACGTTGCCAACTTGTCAGATTGTCTTACTTTCCGTGTACCTACAGCAATAATTCATAAAAAAAATCGGGAACAAACATAAATTATGTGTAAAATTAATAGTACCTACTTATATTATGCTACGATTTTATAAATATTTAATGCTTACTGGACATCAGTAAAGCAATATACATATAAAATATTGTGTAAAAGTTACCCATTAATAACGAGTTTAGAGTGGTAAACACTATTTTGAAAAAGAACTTTAAAATTCAGAAAATATTTAACAACTTCTAAACGATTATATTAGCAGCAACTAAATTCTAACTGCTGAATACTTATATTGAATAAATATATATTTTCAATTATTGTACACTAAACAAAAGGTATTTTAGGGAATGTATACGTGAACGTAGAAATTTTTCCTATTTTCCCTTTCATCAATCTTTCTAAGCTGAATATTATGTACTAAAGTAATATTATCAAATATTAATTTGTTAGGATTTATTATTTAGGTGCAGAAGAAAATTTTAAAATTAAAACATATATTAAAAATAAAGATTGCATTTTTGAAAAAGATGAAAAAAAAATGACCATACATAGTTTTTTAGATTTATCTCCAACTGACTGAATTTACGATTAAGACGTGACAACATCGATAGTATGGAATTTCCGGAGCGTATCTCGTTTATCGTCGTAATCGTCGATGTTCGTGGAATTTTGGAAGACAAGTCTGGTCGCGTCGGTCTTTAATATTTAGAACAGAAGGCAGAATTTTTTAATTATTTTCGAGTGTTCGTATAGAAATAAGTATGTCGGCAACTGTAACAAGTAATGGTAAGTTCAATAAAATTGCTAGCAGTCATTAGGGTTAATTTTAAAAAGGAATACTTAGGTTAGAGGTGGGTAAACTTTTTGTAATATTACAGCTGCTTAGATGGTACACCTCGTGAAAATTATAGAATGCTTTTTAGTTATATAGCCACATTTTATTTGAAACTAATCGAGAAATTACAAAAACACTGAAATATGTTAGACTTAATTTTATAATGTTTACAAACTGGCATAGTATCACCAGTTTGTATCACTCTTATCAGAGACAACTTGTTACAAAATACCATTTATTTTATTCTGTCAATAACTTCCATGGTATTTAAATGAGCAAAATGTGTTGTATTCGCAAATCTATTTCTTAGTTTCTATTTGTAAATGCATTTCTTGTTGATAGTTGAGTGGTCATAAGTAACCAGTAAACATTTATTAATTTTTTAGATTTTATTATATGACACTAAAGTTTGGACTTTAATTTAACTACTGATAATAAACACACATTACAATGTATTTTATAGGTTTGAAATGTATTTTCCTTTTATAGTCTATATATAGTATATTCCCATAGTCCTTTTAAGGTCTTTTTAAGATAAGTCCTTTTTAAGGAAAGGCCATTTAATAATACTGTAAAAGCACAATATAATGCCTAAAAAGATGAATTTGTGTATGTGCCAACAGAATGAATGTATTGTTTTGCTGTCCCTCAAATATTTATAAATAACCAGAATAACAGATTTTTAATAATTACAATGCTAAAAATAAAAAGTATCAGTTTTAGAATCCATCAAGGTAATCCTCTTAAATATTTACCTTAATAGTCATAAAATACCTACTATGTATTACATCTCCCTTGCTTATACATATTTGTTTCTGATAGAATACTTGATAAAGTGGCTAAATTAAGTAGTTATAAAAATTGGAAATGTTCTCATTGTCAACATGTTATCATAATCTCAGTATTGTTATGAAGATATTTGATTTGGTGTTTTATTATTGTTATTGTTATCTTAATATATATTGGGAATCGACCACAATTGAGCAATTTGAAATACTTTATTGACATTTCAATTTATAGGTCAGAAATAAATTTTTCAAATCCGAAGTTTTGTCTAGCATATGAAAGTAAAAAAGGGTGTTATAGGTATAGCCATTCTTTTTGATAACATCTTAATATTACACTCACTTTACACTTTTCCTCAAAAATGATTTAAGTATTATTTTCCTGGTTTGTGCTTCTTATTTAAGGAGAAGAATTACCCAGTATCACAAAAAATCTTTTTTGCTTAAGTAAGCTTCTTAGACAAGAATCATGTTGAGATGCAGAGAGTATAAATATATCTTCTCTTTTTGAATGCAAATTCATGTTTATCAGTGTTATTAACAATTAAATTCAAATTTAAATAAAATTAGTACCTATTTAAAAAAATGAATATACTATCATCATGTTCTGGAATTTAATTTGTTTTTTAACAATTCAAACCTTAGAAACCACTATTATAAGTCTATACTAATGTACTAAAGATACAAAAGTTGTACATTCTGTGCTATAAAAATTTTCATCACAAAGTCAGTTTTTCAGTTACACCTTCCTTAATTTTTCAGCTGCTTCAAAAATTATCAGTTTACTAGGAATTGCAAGTATGTACTAAAGGACTGTGGTTTCAATATTTTTCAATTCCTTCATTTCTGTAGTTGTAATGCAAGGCATAGGTGGTCCACTCCACTCAAATTCTAATTTCTAATAGCAATACCTTAAATTTTTGTCACTCAAAAAAATTTCAGGGAGAACACAATTTTTTATTTTTGCATATTTTATGAAAGTATACACTCTTGGTCAAAAAAATCTAGGCACTACATTTTGTGTTTTTTTTAATTTTGTCACTGTGTAGTGTTTAATGTAGTGGAATTATACAAAAATTATTAAAAAATGTTCATTTGTAAAAATAAAAATGGTTCTTTTAATGTTTTTAAATGATTGTGTCACCATAGAACCAAAATTTTGACATGTGGCAAAAAATGATATTCTATCTTGTTTACTAGCTACAGATTTTTTGCAATTTTTGTTGCGTTTACGATCAGTTGCAGGTTTATTCTGATAAACTCAGATCACTGTTCATTAGTGTTTTTAAATAGTTTTAGTATGACTCCCGAAAACAATGTAAAAGTTGTGACATTACATGAAGATGGTCACAGTATACAATATATTAAAAGTACCCTCCATGATGCTCCTACAAAGTAACATCAGGCTGGGGAACATATGAGAATACCAAGATCAGACAGAAAAAGGTGCAGAGATCAGTGTGATGAATGTTTTTTAAAATCTCCACTTTACAGTACCACTCTTTAATGCCAAATAGTCTCAGTACTCCTTTGTTAGAAGCTCTAGGAATTCATATTTCTGCACAAACTGTAACAAGAGTCCTGCATGAAAGTGATTTTCATTCTCATAATCTATTAGCGTGCCCTAAATTAACAGCAACTCTGGAAGAGATTTACAATTGATCACAGACTGGACTGTTTATAGTGTAATGATTTTTTACCTGTTGACAGACATGAAAGTGTATGGAGGAGACCCAAAGAATGATTTGCACCTTGCTGTGTTTTACCTAGATTACCATTTGGTGGAGGGAGTATTATGGTATGGGTAGGTATTTTTCAACAGATGCACTGAATTAATTTTCATGGAACATGGAACTCTTAACAGCACATAGATACATAAGACAGTGTTTGGAGGACAATGTTGTCCCCTATGCCCCTTTCACTGGGGAAAATTTCTTATTTATGAAGGATAATGTGAGTCCACATATTCATGAATCGTCATGGACTACCTAAATACTCTCTAAATTCCTGTGTGTGATTCGCCCATTTGTAGTTCTGACATGAATCCATTAGAACATTTATGGGCCATTTTAGGGAAAATTTTGAAAAAGAAGAGACAATTCAAGAGCTAAAAGAGTGTTGAATGAAGAATGAGAACCTATACCGCAAGAACAGATTCAGCAACTTATTGCAAGGTTGTCTAGGCATATTGAAATCTTCCACAGATGTAGGAGAGGCAATACCTGATACTAAACCTAAAGAACAGCCAACTGTAGGCAATTAAAATTTTATTTTTATTTTGTTGAATTTTTGGAACAATGTTAATTTTTTGTGTCACTTAGTATTTTTTTTTTGTTACTTATTTTTTCCTATTATTACTTTTTTAGAGTTTTAAATAAACAATTTCTATTATGTTTACTTTCTCCTCATTTAAACTACTTATCACTTACAGAATAGAACATACAAAATGCAAGTTTCTGGATTTTTTTTTTACCAGAAGTGTATATTTTTTTAGATTTTCTGTTATTGTAGAAAAAATACTTTTTGGAAAGTAAAAAGTATAAATTTAATGTAATTACTTATACCCATTCTAAAATTTTATTCCGTTAGTCAGTAAAAGTTCATGAGTATATTGTTGGAACACAAAGAAATGAATTACATTAAATTTTCATTATTTGGAGAAGTCATTGGTTTTATTTTTGATTATTACTCAAACAAAAAATTAAGACAACCATTTTGTTTTCATTATAATTACTTTACTTTTCATGTTATGAATTTTACTATAGCTGATTTTAAACCTCTTTTTAAGCTTTTCATAAAAGTTTTTGTACATTTTCTTTAAAAAATTGACTGTTTTCTTACTATTTAATGTTTAAAGGTGCAAATTGATTTAATAGTAAAAAAGAAATGAGGCATAACTTGTTTGGTATCGCAACTACAAAAATCAAAAAGAAAAACCAATCTACTTTCATTTTTGTGTAGATAGCTTAATTAGGCTTTTGTGAAGCTTAATTTTTGTGTACATAATAATTCTTTCTTTAAAATGTAAATATTTTGAGTTCTTCTTCTTCTTCGTCTAGCCATTCACATCCACATCTGAACATAAGCCTCTTCAAGTCTTCCTTTCCATTGGTTTTTATTGTACGCTACTTGTAGCCAATTTTTCCCGGCAGTCCTTTTCAGATCATCTGTCCATCTCATAGGAGGTCTGCCTCTGGGTCTTTTGTATATTTTATTTTTATAATATATATTTTTATAATAATATTTTGAGTTATTTGTGAAAAATCTTTCAAATGTGCATTTTTTTTATGCAAATTCAGGACATTCAGCAATGAAAATCTTGATTCTAGAAAAAATGTTCAAAAAATATTGTTTGCTTAAAATTTTTTTATTTATTGATTTTATGGTATTTTCAATTTAATAATCGCTACCCTCAGAAAGGGGTAACATATACTTCCAAAGTAAAAATGTACAACAGCACAAGTTACTCTGTACTGTCAAAATTTACCCACATTCAATGTTGTACAAACAACTTGCAAACAGAAACCATGAAGCTCTGGATAAGACATTTTATAGTGTATTAATCAATTTATACAAATTGAAAATTTTTCCTATAAACACACATTTAATTTTTTAAACCCCTATTAACTGTTTCTAAAATATACCTATTTGTTAAAAACTACACAGACATTATTTTATTTAAATATTTAAAATCTATGTTGGATTGTTGTGATGTTAATTATCCACAATTTAAAAATTGTGAGTATTATGAAGTTTTGATCTTCAGATTGGAAGCTATTTTCAAAATACCATTTATGGTGAACAAAATGTAAAAATAAAATGTTAGGATTTTTAAGTTAGACATAAATTCGTAATGATTATTCTATAAAACAACAAACAATACTACAAGATCAGTATTAAAAAAGAAGTGCAAAAATTTTGTAAGCTATGTGCTTTCATATTCACACTAACTTATAAACTGTATAATGATGGAAAAAAGTGATGTGGCTGAAAATAAAATATAGAGGAGAACTAGAGGAGTAAAGCAGAAGATTGAGGTAGAATAATTAGGACAATACATAGCTGATTTATATTTAATCCCATTAAAATTATTCCTAAATAATTTGCGTAACCATATATTTTATAGTTACCTACAAAAGAGAACTCATTACTTGCAACATTAACATACATTTTATTTTTCAGTGTCATGGAGGAAGCGGAAGAGTGAAACAGCTGCAGACTTGCAGATTGAGATGAAAAGACCAAGGTACTATTATTACAGGCTCGCTAGTGAAAGTTCTAGAGCTTCAGAGGAGGATACAGAGAGTGTTCATAGTCTTCAGGGAAAAGAAACTGGTATGTTCCAGAAATTGTTGCTGTAGAAGATAGTTGTTTGATTAATTAATTTTAGATGTTGCAAGAGATACAACTGATACTGATTCCAAATCTGAAGATGATGATGACGATGATGGTGACTTGATTGAGTATGAAGTTGCTAGCCTATCTGGAAGTGAAAATGATATACTGGATTTGTCTACAAGTGGTTCAGAAGTAAGTAACTTGCAAGTTATTAAGATAATTATTTTTCAGTTTTTAAATAGTTAATAAATTCAGGATACTGAGGAGTTTATCAAAATCCATAGCAAATGACAGGTGGGATAAATTTGTTGCGAGAGATTACAGCCATATCAGCTCAATATATTTGTCAAATTAAAAGTGAGTTAGAGTTAAGATAAGACATCAGTAAACCATTGATCTACCATACTTATCCTATAGAGAGACACTACAATATTAGTAGGTGGAGTATGCAGATGTATGGTGATAGGCTTTTAATATAAAAATTGCTTTCATTTTATCACTCATCTAATAAAGTCTAAACCATATTAGAAGAGTTATATTTAATTAAGCAATGATCAGTGGCCCTAAAACAGTTGCTTTAAAATTTAATTCTAACCACTTGAAAGGTAAATTATTTAATTTCATACCTTTTGGTATAAATTAAAGAAATGTTCAGTAAGAAGGTTTTGTTCTGTGCGGCACGGATGCGTATCTGTGGGACAAACCAATTGCACCAATTACAATGTAGTGAGGCAGCAGTTTGATTCTTTGTCTTTGGGAGTTTGTGCAGTGGCATTTGTGTCTAAGAGACACTACCTGAGATTTGCAGTTATATAATTGAAAAGCAGTCTGTTAACTCAAACTAGTATTGTAACTTCTGTTGAGACAAATTTTTATTATTTTAGAAAGTATAACATTTTATGCCTTTCAAAAATGGATCCTTATTTATTAGAAATTGTTAGACTAGAGAAGTTGTACGATGAAGTAGAAGCCGAGGATGATTTAGAAGAGAAAGGCTTGTCTGACTAAGAAGACATCTATGAAACATTACATCATGAAAGTGACACAGAAAAAGAGTTAGATTTTAAAGACACTCCAGAAATTTCTGCTAGCACTAGCACCTGCCAACAACGTACAGCAAAAGATGGTACCACAAAATGGAAGAACACCTACAGAAACTTTTCAATCTTTTTTTGATGATTATGATGAACATAACATAATTGTCGAAAATACCAATATTTATATCTCTACACTTACCTCGTTATAAAGACTCTTATGACGTCAAATTGACAAATATAACAGAAATGAAAGCGGAACTGGAGTGGACATATTTCCGGCTGTGATTTCTTACAGGAGAATGACATTTTTTACTTACATTCACTACGTTTCGACAATATCAACACTCACAACGAAAAACAAAATGTTGATAACTTGGCACCGATTCGAGAACTGTGGGAAACGTTTGTTGACAATTGTAGAAATAATAACAACTTAGGAGAGTATGTCACAGTAGATGAGATGCTCTATGAATTTAGTGGAAAATGTTCGTTTCATGTTTATATCCTGCAAAGTATGGAATTAAGGTATTTGTTGCAATGGTAGACTCAAGAACATCTTATGTGTCAAATTTAGAAATATATGCAGGGAAGCAGTCAGGGGAACCTTTCGCAATTAGTAATAAAACTGCAGACTTGGTACTCAGGCATTGTGCTTCAATATTAGGATCAGGTCGCAATTTAACATTTGATAATTGATTTACCACCAAGCTTCTTGTTAGTAAACTTATAGAAGACCATAACATAACTTTAGTTGCTACCATAAGAAAAATTTAAAAATAAATTTTACCGGAATTTTTAAACAGTAAATTCTTCAATGTTTTGGTTTTGGGAAAAATATTACCTTAGTATCACATATTCCAAAAAAAGGCAAAGTGGTTCTTGCTGTCTCCTCTCTACATACAGATAATGAAATTTATTCCGAAACAGGTGAAAAAAATAAAATGAAAATATTATCACATATTATAACATCACAAAAGTTGGTGTAGATTGTGCTGATCAAAAATCAGCTGCCTATAATGTGAGCAGGAATACCAGAAATAAAAATATAATATTCATAATATTATACAATCTAATAAACATTGCCGGTATCAATGGGTATGTAGTTTTAAATACTGAAGGGAATTAAAAAAAAAGAAAGCATTAATTCTCTAGCGAAAAACATGCACTTTCTAAGAGAAACACATGCTATTGCACAACTTCTAACAAGTTCAGATGTGGCTGTATGAAAATCAACTGACAGTGTACGACATGGAAGATGCTACTACTGTCGAAATCGAAAAACAAGATATTGTTGCAAAAAAGAGAGAAAATGGCTTTGACTTGAACATGTGTCAATATTGTGTTACAAAAAATTCTAAAGATTGAGAGATATATCCAAGAATGTTGTGTTTTTCTGACGTTTGCTTGTATCCAAATAAAGAACTGTTGTTTGTTTATTTTAATAAAATATGTTTTATGTTATAGGAATTGCATCACAAAAATTGTTTGTTTTCATTTTTTGCAAAATATTTGAATACATAATGTTTGTCTCTTAGACACCACCAGTTCTTTCCTGTAAAACAAATTCACCCGTACCGCGACAGGTTAATGACGTTTTAAATATAGTATTCATTCAGTTTACTATACTATGCTAAATACTGATAACTAATTAAGATTACTAAATAAGCTAGAAATTAACTACTAAACACCATTAATCAGTCTTCTTTATTAACATTGCATAACAACAGATTGACGATTTACATACTATGTAATTCCAACTAAGATATTAAATATAACCGGATCATTTAATTTTTTACTATCAACAACAAAATAATATATGACACAAACTAACAAAAACCTAATATATGACAACTATGAATTTGATGGTAATAGGATCTTCACAGATATCACTACTGCAGTACATATTTCTTCGTATATAACAGTTTTTAGACAACTTGATTCATTCAGTTGAAATAGAACACATACAAGAGGATACATGGGTGGCCTTACTGACAGAAATGTTTAAAAAACAAAACAAAGAACCTTTACCAGAAACGCCAAATATAATAACTGAGGAAAAGACTGAAATCTCCCAAAACGATGTGAAAGAAGGAATAAACAAATTAAAAAACAGAAAGTCACCAGGAGAAGATCAAATACGAAATGAACTCTTAAAATATGGAGGTGATTACCTTGTACAACAACTGCAACTTCTTATTAATAAAATAATCACCACAAACAGAATACCAGATGAATGGAGGAGAGCGATCATGGTGATGTTCTTCAAAAAAGGAGATAAGAAAGACCCCAATAATTATCGAGCAATAAATCTTTTAAATACAACTCTCAAATCGACAACAAGAATAATAGCGACAAAAATAAACGAACAACAACAAGAGGAACAACAAGGATTTCGGACAGAAAGATCATGCACGGATGCAGTTTTTGTAATAAGACAAATAAAAGAAAAGTCGCTGGAATACAACAAACCAGCATATATGTGTCTGATAGATTTGAAGAAAAGAACTAAAATTATTATATACAAAACATTGCTGAGGCCGGTCCTCACATATGGAGCAGAAACATGGACTCTAACGCAGAAAGATGAAAGACTTTTGGGAATATTTGAGCGTAAAATACTCCGCAAAATATTTGGAGCTGTAAACGACCAAGGACAGTGGCGCAGAAGATATAATTTTGAATTGTATCAGCTCTTTGATGAGCCCGATGTCATAACGTTTATTAAAACACAGCGACTTAGATGGGCTGGACACATAATACGAATGCCAGAAAATACCATTGCTAAAAAGCTAACCACAGGAACACCTGTAGGAAAAGAAGCAAAGGCCGACCGCGAATTAGGTGGTTAGATGGAGTAGAAACCGACTTACGAATATTAAAAATCAGAAGATGACAACATGTTGCCAAAAACCGAACAGAATGGCGACGAATCTTAGAGCAGGCCAAGATCCACAGAGGATTGTCGAGCCAAAGATGATGATGAGATTTGAGGAAAGCGGTTGATAGAGTGAGAATTCAGGACGCGATACATTTATTATATGAAAAGGGAATATCACTGGATTTAGTAAAAACTATTGAGAATATATATATATATATATATATATATATATATATATATATATAAAGATAACATAGGTATGGTAAGATGTAAAGGAAATCTATCGCAACCTATCAAATATGAAACTGGCATTAGACAAGGAGATTCGATGAAATCATAAAGAAAGTTAAAAAAAAAGAGTATATAGAATGTGAGAAAAGGAAATAAGGATAATATGCAACGCTGACGACGCCATAATGACAGCCGAAAAAGAATTCGAAGATACGACGCTCATATACAACATGGTGATCTCAACAGAGAAAACTAAAGCGATAGTGATATCAGCGGAACCGAGACGATGTAAACTAGTCGTAAATAACAAAATAATAGAACAAGTGATGGAAACTGAATACTTGGGAATAAAACTGTCAAGCTACGGAAAAGGGGAGGAAGAAGTACAAAAACAAGTGAACATGGCAAACAGAGCAGCAGGCAGGATGTCTTAACAACACAATCTGGAGAAACAAATACCTCACAACGGAAACGAAAACTAGGATATATAAATCAACAATAAGACCGATAATGACGTACACAGCGGAAACAAGAGCAGATCAAATACGAGCGAGATGTGTGGTGAATATAAGATGAAAAAGTGGAATGAAATCAACATATCGAAAGAATGACAGAAGATTGAATAGTATGAATAGCAAGAGACAAATCGAAAAATGGAAGAAGATCATTGGGACGACCGAGGAAAAGATGGTCAGACAACGTCAATTGAGGCTAAAAACCGAAGTAAAACAGGCATTGAGCCTATTTATAAAGTAGGAAGAAGAAGATGATTCATTCTTTACAGATATGTGTCCATGTAACCTTATTTTTGTAATATGTTGTTGGAATGGCATAACTTACGATTATTTAGTAAATCTACATTATGTCACAAAAATTAAACAGAAATCATTAAAACATTTGTTAATAAACTCACTGTATAAATATGATATATTCTGTACTATTGTGATATAATATAAAGTATATATCCTAGAATCCTAATGATTTAAGAATATATTTCAATAAATTAAATAGTTGTGTACCAAATTTTATTAGGGCAAGTAGAAATCTAACCTAACCGAATCTCCAATGAAAATTTATGGAACCAAAGCAACCAAGAAAATGTCATAAAGCAAATAAGGCGAAGAAAATGGAGATGGCTGGGCCACACACTCCGTAGACCGCCAAATGACATTGCCAGGACAGCGCTGGATTGGAATCTCCAAGGCCGGCGGAAAGTAGGCAGACCTAAGGGAACTTGGAGAAGGACAGTACTGGACGAAGGGAGAAAAATGGGAAAATCCTGGCTTGAAATCAAAGCACTAGCCAGAAATAGAGTTCGCTGGAGACACTTTGTGGAAGCCCTATGTTCCTCTTAGGAATCTTGGGACTATATATATAATATATATATATATATATAATATATATATATATATATATATATATATATATATAAGTAGAAATCAAGAGCACGCATTCGTTTCAGCAAACCGAAACTTTGCAAGCTAAGCATAATAATATCAACAACAATTGCCCCGGTGACAAGGAATCAATGTCAATAATAATAGTGTATTAGTCAATAGTTAATTACAATTAAACAGATGTAATCCTATTTACTCATAGTCAATGGTCACACCAAACGAATTCAAAGTTCATCGCGTATCATCGTCGACTAAGTATGTTAATCAATAACAGTATCTGTAAATAGTTGTCTGTAACAATAAAAGATATAAGAACCGATTTATACGTATATTTTTGACCTGAAGACATTATCACGAACACGAAAACCCCCAGAGATGCACGATCGGCTTAAACGACAAGAATAACTACCTTATTGTCATTCACCCAGCCTGAATCAACATGAGCTTTATTAAAGAATTTAAATATGTCAATTAGTGAAACATGGTTAATGTAATAATAATAATATAATTATTTTCTGCTTTGATAATGTATCATTATCAACTTACTATGTTAATAAATACAACTGGATGGAATTCTGTAGAAAGGATCCAACCCACACTTTATTAAAACTGAGATATTAGCCAAAAACTTTACGATAAAATTAAAATTCTCTATTAAAAATAATTATGGTTTAACATTAAAATGGTTAATATAATCATTCGATTTGACTTAAAACATACTGTTTGATTCAAGAAAACAGTTCTTTTAAAAAAATCCACTTTTGTGGCTTGGTTCCCTTCTGCAAAATAACTTCACTGCACTAAGTGAATTAAAAGTTAGGTAACTAACATTTATTTTCCATTATTAAGTTACATAATCAGGCTTATAATCTAAAAAAAACTATTAATATGCAATTAAGGGGATTTCATAATTGGTTCTATTAAAAAATCTGGAAGTCCCGTGAATCCATCTAAATTATCTTTCAAGTTTGCATCAAACTTTTATAAAAAAAAGACTGACAATCTTCGGGAATAAGATGCATTATAGACATGATGTCTTGTAGTTTTGGATTGGAGATTTCCTTGCCGTTGGGCCACATTAGGGACATATCGCCTCTATTTACAAAGTGTTCTGTTGGCCTACCAATCTGCTTCTCTCGGATATCCACTTCAGTGTAAGCACCATCATCAAAGCGTGTTTTCATAAAAATTGAAAATGGTTTGGCTTTGTCCAATATAATTTCCCTAGTTTGCAGCCAGCTTATTTTTTCTTCAGAGAGATCAGACCAGAGAAGCGTATATAAATTTTTGTAGGAGATACATGTAACTGAAGAAGCACTTTGCATTAAAAGAGTTAGCTTTATATTGCGGTTTTGTCCGCCACATGAATCAGACCACATCACAAGCTCTGTAATATCCGGTGAGACATTCTCGTCAATAAATTTCATCAAGCAAGAACCAATCTCTTGAGCGCACCTGCCTGCTTCATTTTTTATCCAAATATTGAAGAATCTCTTATTAGTTTTTTTCCGAATGTATTCCAAATTTGTCTTTTGTAGAAGAAAATGCCTGTGGGAAGTCTTGCTAAAGGCAATGTTTTTTCTAGATCAAAACTTAGAGATTTCAACCAACTGCATTCTGCTGTTGTCATCTTTCATTTTTTGTGTAGCTTCCTGCCTTATGAATATGCTTATCATGCTCTTCGCGTAAGCTACTCTTCTCCTCTTCATTTGGAGAACAATTAATTTTGGCTTGGTAGGTGTCGCAGGTATTACAAGTGTCTTTCTTTAATGATTCAAATTTTCGATTAAATTCTGAGCAAAATGTTCGCTTGTATGAAACAAAACTAACAGGATTTATCACTTCTTCTTTGTACATTCGATACATTAACGCAAGCGTTACTTCCGGAGGTAGAAATTGAGTTTCAAAACATTGATCTCTTCGGTGGTGACTCTTATACTTCGGAATTTTGTTTATTTGTGTTATAATTTCCTGTTTTCGGTCTTCGTCGATTTTATTTCTACCACCTTGCCGTATTCCTCATTTGTCTGTTATGGTTGTGGATCTCAGTTTTTTTTAAGCGGTGTATTAACTCTTTTTGGAGAAATTTGTAAAGTTTTTAGAAACGTTTACAAACGAAAAACATACATAATCCATCAACTAATCATCCAGGGAAAGATTGAAGGCAAGAGAGGAGTAGGTCGCAAACAAATGTGGCTACGGAACATAAAAACCGGGCAGGCATAAATAACACTGGCGATCTTTTGCATGTCGCAAAAGACAGACGTCTGGCCTTAAGATAATTCGCCAACAAACTATAGGGGCACGATACTAAGAAGAAGAAGAAGAACAGAGTCATTAATAAAATTGCCTGTAGGATTATTGTTTTCGTGCCGATTTTCTGACGTATTGGCTTGTTTGAAAGATAATTCTAATATTTGTCTGCCTCTACAGCTTTCCATCGTTTATAGAAATAATTATTTTTATAACTAAAGGGCGATTACAACTGTAAACCTAAATAAAAACCTTTCACAACACAAATTCAAGTCAAAATAATACTAACTCATAACCAAACTTTTCATGTGCAACGGTTATTATACACTAAAACATACATTAAATGTTTTGCAGAAAGGAATTAACTCACATGGATGTATTCTGCAGAACACTAACGTGCTGCAACAATAATGTTTGTTGGTTCTTTCACTCACAGAGGACGCTGTATGTCGTATGTGGCTTGGTTCATTTCTGCACAAGCATCTACGGGGTATTTTGCAACCTCTGAGACTGTTAATGGGAAAAATACATATTTGTGGTTTGGTTCCTTTCTGCAGAATCCCGTCCAACTATGGTAATATATTTTTTTACTACGCTAAGACGTAAATCTGATTCAACACCTCGGAGGTTTAGATCCTCTTAGTGATTGTTTTACCATATATTTATTTTATATTTTCTTTTTTTTTAACATCTTTTTTATAATCCTCTTTTCCATTTTTTTTATCTATTTTGTTTTATTCTTAAATCTATTTTTTTTATCTCTATCTTGTGGCGTTTTGTTTTTATTTTTACTTTATCGTATGGCGCTTCACGAACAATCGTCACTTTATCATAGTATTCTGAAAACTTGTTGAGCAGCGCTGATTGACACAACAGAGCAGTAAAATGTTATACATAAAGATGTTTTAAAATATATCTTCGCTTACTTGGTCCTCTATTAATAAAGCTATTGTTTTTGACTATAGCATCAATGTTATTTGATGACTATATAAAAATTTATGGTACATTTTTCAAAAAATACGAAAGTACCTGAACTTCAACTAAAAACCATAAAAAACATCAAATGTATATTAATATCAGAATTTTATTGCAAAATTATCTCTCTGTCCAGCTGAAGGGCTTGACTATATCTTGGGGAAGTCGTTTATCACTATCCATATTACTTAATGCTAATTTCTTATATTCATTCTTCCATGTGTTCATTCGTTCGTTTTATTTCATTCATTCATGTTTATAGGATCAAGTTATTTTCGCTGCTGCAGTTGAAGCTATGTGTGATTCTTCACTTGACACTTGGATAACGGATTGTGAAGAATCTGATAATAGTTCCTTGGCTGATACATCTATAATTAGGTTGGGATTTACTACTTGCATTCAATGCAAGTCTATAAATGACAATCCTCTCTTCAGATATTGTGAAAAATGTTTCCAGGTATTTAATTTTTTTTTTAATTTAATTTGATTTATATTCAAAAATGTCAAATTAGTATGTTACTAAATTACTGTTTACTATTATTTCAAAAGTAAGTATGTTAACAGATATATATTTATTGGCACATCAATTTTTAGTGAAAAGTTTTTACTAAGTGAAATTATTTTTAGATAGTTGATTTTTTAAATTTATATTTTAATAGGTACATTATATTTGAAAATCTATGATTGAAATAAATTCAATCACTGTGAGGCAATTAAGTAAGACTATTAGACTTGATTTCTAAAATAATTCTTAAATTTTCAGGAATTATATATCAGTATATTTTATATTGGACTTGGTGTCCTATTGGGAAATGCAGACATTTTTTTTTTGTTTTTTTTTTTTAATCTGATTTTGACTGATATGATAAACAGCTGTCATGTTTTGTATTTTCTAATTGAATAATTATCGAATAGTAATATATCTAGTTAAATAATTATGATGAAATAAGAAATATACAGACTACAGCTTCCGATAAGTAAAGGTTGTGATTTTATGTATGCTTTAGAACTAACTAAATATCTAACTTACAGAATATTAAAAGCATGGTTTAGTACAGTTTTTGCTAATCTTATGTAATTTTCTTTGAACTACTATCATATTTTCTAAAAGTAATATCTTTATTTTTAAGTGATTATACAGTGCGTTAAGTTTTGGATTAGGTATACACTCTATAAATGGCAACACTGCGCGTCGTCGACTTGCACTACATATCTGCTTCGTTGACTCGTCGTTGCTCGTCGCCCGTCGGCAAATTTGTCATATTGTCATTATACCGTGGTTGTTTAAAGGTATAACAGCGTAGAGTTTTAATTTATTTTTGTATACATGTCTGTTTATATGGCCGCGGAAAAAGCTCAAATAATAAAATGGTTTTATAGTGGCAATTCTGCGCAACAGTGTGTAGATTTATTTTCTGTGTTTTTTGAGGGAAGACCAATTCCTTGTGTACAGTCAATGTATAATATTGTTAAAAATTTTGAGAGTTGTTATTGCCTCAAAAATTGCAGAAAATGTCACGCTCGAGAAGTGTTACCAGAAAAAGTTGAGGAAAGAGAATACCGGAATACACAAATTTTTGCAACAATCGAGGTAGATTCAACACGTTCAAGTAGAAGCGTTGCTAGAGAGTTAGATGTTAGCAATGTTACTGTAACGAAAGTATGGAAAAAGCACGGTTACAAGAATTTTAAATATTCGAAAACGCAGCAGCTTTATCCAGACGATTACTTTCGAAGAATGGAGTTTTGTGAAACTCTAATAACGAAGGCTAATAGTGAACCAAATTTTATTAAAAACATTTTATTCACTGATAAATCTTCTGTTTCGTTAGTAGGGTACACAATCCTTCCATTACGAGGTATTGGGCGCGGGAAAACTAGCACAGAAGTGTTGTTTACCGAACTCAACGTCCTCAAAAAGTTAACGTCTGGACTGGCATTTTAGGAGACCACATAATAGGTCCATTTTTTATTGAGGGCAACTTGAATAGTAGAGTATACCTCGATTTGTTACAGAATCATGTTCTTCCCGCTATTCTCAATCTTCCTGTATGTAAATCTGGAGAATGTTTGGTTTCATCAAGACGGCTGTTCAGTTCATAACGCTCGAATTATTAGGAAGTATTTAAACAATACTTTCCCGAATCGAGTTATCAGTGGAACAGGCGATATTAAGTGGCCTGCGCGATCTCCAGATCTTACACCCATGGACTTCTTTTTTTGGGGACATTTAAAAAGCATTATCTACGCTCATCCTGAGGCTAGAGCCCAAAATTTGGATGAATTAAAAAATCGAATAAGAGAAGTCTCCAATTCTGTTACAGCAGAAACTCTTTCATCTGTTCGCAGAAGTTTTTATGACAGATTGGGGTACTGTTCAGCCGTAGAAGGTCAACTATTTGAACCATTTCTGTAGGTCATAAAGAATTATTTTTTATTTTATTAGGAATAATATTTTAATTTTCAATAAGAGTATATTTTTTATTTTATCTTTTTAAAGAAATACGCTTTTATTTTTAATTCAACCACAAAAAAATTTTCACATTAATAAAAATCGATAACAATGCACCGATTAGGTCAGTGCATTTTTATCGAATTACCTACTATTAAAATCGGCTTTACGTAATGAAACATGAGATCGGACGACAGAGAAGTACATCCCTAACGTTGTTATGAGTTACTAAACTAAAATAAAAGATTTTCTGTCCGTGTAGATATTCGGTCGGAGAACGAACATTGGCAACGTTGCCGATTTTAGCGCTCCGTATAGTGTGCAATACCTAATCAAAAACTTAACGCACTGTATTACAATTATGTACATATTATTTACATATTTATGAATTTTCCAACATCATTCTTATATTTTGGATATAATCACATTCTGGGATTTGAGAATTTTTCGGTTATTGATCATGACAGTGGTTGATTGATCACACCTGAAGGTAATTCTTTATTTCATTGCTTCTGCTCTTCCCCTGTAAGTATGTATCGGGATATAATTGTATTTTATTCCATATTCTGTATAATTTATATAAAGTGTAATGTAGAATATAAATTGCAATCTAATCCATTTTCAAATAAATACTAGCCTCTAAGCGTATATATTAAAAATTTCAAAAGTTGTAGGGACACTATTTTTCTTCATTCTTAACTAGGCAAAATGTATGTTCAACCGTCAGTAACTTCTTAACATAGTCCAATGCTTCATTGACCTATTGGCGATTTGTCTAGAGCTATTCTCATTATTCTATTTTGCGCTATTCTATTAATATGTTTCTTCTTCTTATTTCAGACGAGACCCGTTAATCTCTAAACATTTTTAACTCTCATTTATGTCATGTGTTTCATCAAATTGTTCGAGAGTTTTTTTTTATCAACATTCTTGATTATTTTTGTAGTCTGGATTGGTCTTTGAATGGTTCTCCATTTCTTCTGATGACTCCATGAGTAGTCGCTTCTAAAACTTGTTCTTTTGTTTTGCACCTTTGTACCACAGAAAGTTTCGGGGCCTAGAAGGGTTTCTTTCGACCCTTATTTTGTGACAAATCTGCTCGTTCATTTAAATGCACCCCTTCGTGACATGTCACCCGTAATAAAGACTTTTTATTATCTTTTGCCAGATTACTCAGAAGATCTTTGCAGTTCCTCACTTTTCATCAATTTAGGCTACCAAAGCAAAAACTTCAACCTGGAACAAAGTTCTATATTGACCTAGGCGTTAAGATTTATTATAATTACATTTCTGCGCAAATACTCCTGATCCAATACCACGGGCAGTTTGGATCCATCAGTGAACCACATTAAGTTCCCATAATATTTTTGACTTTTTGTTTTCTAGATGGTGTAATTGTGTTAATCTTCTCAGAACATTAGTTCTGGTGTCTTGAAGACAGACATGAGTTATGAACTTATAACTGAGTTCATCATAAAGATGGATTCCTAAAGTATAGTCCCAGTAATATTTGTGTGTTTATTCAATGCATAATTCGGCCTCCAAGTATTGTTTGCTTTAAATCTCAGTATGGTCGTAAAGTTTACCGCTGAAATGTATAATTTCAGTAGAGGGAGACCTGTTATAGCCTCTAAAGATGCCGTTCCTGCACTGTTCAAGGCTCATGTGATATTTATAAGCGCTTGTCTTTGTAGTAGGGTGGTGAGAGAGATATACAACAGATTACCTTTGTTGGTTTCAACCCCCCAGGCTTTACTTATGAAATCTGGGGAGATGGGACGGAGTTAATCAATATGTTTATTCCATTCTATTCTTATTTTTGTACCTATGTGGTAACTGGAAATATCTTGCATTTATTTAGCTTAGCTGATTATCCTTGTTAGTATTTTTAACTCTGTTACTTTCATTATTCGTTTTGTTCTTCTTTATAATGAAACTCCTATACTAAATTTCATTACATCAAAGGGTAAGCATTAGCTGTTTTCAATTTCTCAATTTATTAAATTTAATATTTCAGATGCTTGTTTTGTTTGGTTTATAATACATAATAGATTTAAGCGGTTTTTAAATGCTTGAGGGTGTAGGGTTATATTTTAGTTTCATGCTCATTTGTGTCGTTATTCTTAAGGCGTTACCATATTCAGTAAATTCGTATTTCTCTTAAGGTCCGTTTTCACGCTACGTCTTATTGTACGTTTTGTTGGATAGGACAAATCCTATACAATAAAACGTTGCATGTAAACAGCAAAACGTACGTCTTGTCGAATCGAAATGAAATCCAAACGGAAGGAAAAACATGGTGTGTATACACTGGACAAAACGTACGTTTTGTCGTACGTGTTATATGACCAACAAAACGTACAATAAGACGTAGCGTGAAAACGGGCCTTTATATTGTTCTTAAAATAATCATATGATTTCGATGAAATTTTTTGCTAGATTTTGGAAGTCATCACAAAGTTTAAATATAATTTTCAGGGTATATTCCACACATCAACCCAGACATACTGATGTTTACTACTGTTATAAGGAACAATAAATTAAAAACTTTTAAAATTTCTCAATATATTCATTTAACACATTGTTGGCTGGTGTCATAAGACACATACTACAAGTTACATTGACTGCTTTGTTCATGTATCCGTTCAAAAACTGTCATTTTAATTAGTTGCGCTCTAGAACCTATTCAGACATTATGTGAGGATCCTATTACTAGTCTTACGTTCCCATGCAGGATATCTGTTAAATACTTTAACCATCACACCACATTTTCATACCAACATAATAAATTTTGTAACTTTTAAGGGCTTTTCTCAGATATTTAGTGACTCATGTATACCTGGTAAGTATTTAACCACGTCGCTTTTTCAATCTTAGTCAAAATTTAAACTTTACGTTTGTATTCGCTAAAGTGGTAATATGTACTTATTCTAGGTAATAATACACTGATGATGGACTTTTTAGTCCGGAAACGTTTTGCTGTGTAACTCGAAAGGGTTTTTTTT